ACCCTCTTTAACGTTTGTCAGATAAGCTTAAACCCAATTAATTGATAAAATAGTTTAATTTATATTTAAGAATCTAAACGACCTTTATGACCTTTCTAACAACATTTAAGAATCTGTACGTCGTGACTGACTGACTGATTGGATTTTTTATTTCAGTAGTTACAGTTTATGACAAGGGGATTTGTAAAATATCTTCTATGTGGGAAGAAGTCGTGATTGGTTGTAATCAAAAATATATTCAAAACACCCACCCTCGATAAGAAAAATATGGTTGCTTGGGTCTTTAATTATCCGACATCCAAAATGACTGATTACATATATTGATTACGCGTTCAATACCCCTAAATTCATACATGGTTCTTAGATTATTTGATTCCCTCTGGTTTTAGACTGTATTACTTATCATCATAAGTGGATAAGCGATAGTTAAAATTGCTAGAAAAACATTAAACCTGCGGAAAACGGGCAGACATGTAGATCAATATTTCTTGTTAGACTTCATATTTTACTTCTACATTGAAATCCTGACAGACGTTATTTTTATCTGGAATGCCTACAATTAAATTTGAGTTAAAAATAATTTTGTTCTCAGAGTAAAATTTTTTTAATTTGATTTTCATGTGTTCGTATATAATTTATTTTTCATTGCTGTTCGATAAAATAACTTTTGGGAATTCATAGATACGTTATCTTATCTCAACTAATAAGTGATCGGCCATAATACATTTTATCTAAATTTGATTTTGATGCCATTTTTATTTCGTTATTTGTTTCATCTAAATAGCTTGTGAAGTGTTTATTGTTTAGTTGTCAGGAACATAGAAGTTATTGAGTGGACGCAAGCTTAAAACTATCGCAGAAAGCGAATAAAACTTTTTCCAGCATTCGAATCGACTGCAATATTGACGCTGTTGCAGCCGCGGACATCTCCAGACGAGCACAGCAGGCAGTTGGCATCCTTGAGGCAGCTCTGCTGATCAATCACAGTTGTTGCACAGCCCCGCTCAATGCTGCTGCCAGAAGCGGAGGCTTTCACGAAGCAATATGAATTGGAAGCCGTTGGAGCTGTGCAAACTGCCGGCCTCAGCGAGGTCGCGTTCTCAGCGCAATTGGTGTCCTGTGGATATATAGGATTTAAGATAAATATGTATGCAAATGGCCTAAGATTATGCATCGTACCTCGCTGGAATTGCACTGCACACAGGCGAATTTCGCGGAACCCACATTGTTGCAGCGATCCGTGTTGCACTTAAAGCAGGAGCCATCGTTCGGTGAGTCACATCGGTGGCGCAGCTCAGAGGGAATCTCAAGGGAGCAGCCTTTGTAGAGAACCTTAGCTGCTTCCGAATAAAATGGTTAGAAAGCACTCAAGGGAGGGGCGTGGGGCTGCATTGATAACCTACATTTATCATAGATGGCCACGCAGTAGTCCAGGGAGTCCACGCACTTTTGCTCCTGACTCAGTTCCGTTCGCTGGCAGTTGATGCCTTGGCAACTGTGGCAACTTCTGATGTTGTTGGCTTCGCTATATCCTGTCGAAAGGGCGACCAATAGCAGCGCACAGAGAATTACTTTGACTTTCATGGTAGGGCTTTAACTGTGGGCCGAAGGCCAACGCGTTCGACTTTTATACCCTCTCTGTCAGGTGAAGTGCACTCGACGTTAGTTCCACATGGCATAACACTTGACAGCTGGAAACGTTGTAGTATCTAGCTTAGAAATTGTTCCATAACCGATAAACATTGAAAAAAAAACTGAATGTTTTAAAGCAGGAATAAGTTATTACATAAAGATTTTGCATATTTTGGGAGCACACATTGATAATATTTAATAGTATTTTATCTACTTTATTTGCGATTTGAATGTAAGTTGAAAACAAAACATAGCTAATCTACAATAGCTAGATTATTTATTTCTGTACATTATAATTTAAATATTCAAAGATAAGATAATTGGAAATAAATATGTTGACCTACAAATTAAAGAAAATGATTAGAAATAATTAAGAAATTGTATCAACTTTTGTTTACACTCTATTTAAATAATTTTTTTATATATTTTTTTTTTGTAATGAGTGTGTACTTTTTGATTTATATAATACTAGCGGGTATAACCCGGCCTTGCCCGTGGCACGTATGTTATAAAATCAAAAAAGTTTTGAAAATGATTTTAAAACTGATCGGACGGGAATCAAACAACTTTTATGCAAATCGGAAAACTCTTAAAATTCACCGAAAAAATCTTAAAAATGCATTTTCCACCGAAGGAGTTTAGATTTTGCGAGAAATGTGAAACACGTCTCTAATGATTTTTCTTATAGATCTTTGGAAATAAATTTGAACACAAAACGTCATTCACCAAATCTTCGCACCAAGGAGGGATGGATTTTTCAAAAAGTATGAAACAACCATCAAATTAATTTGAACATAGATCTTTCAAAATTAGTTTGGGGCCGATCGGATGGTAAACAAAAAAGTTACATACAAACGTTTTTCGCGGTTTTTCCACACTTGCGAGTGGAATTTCCCGAAACCCCGCCTTAGCGTGCACCTACATCACATAAGGTAACTACAGTGAAAATTTCAGCTTCCTAGCTCTTACGGTTTGGGCTGTGCGTTGATCACCAATCAGTCAGTCAGTCAGTCAGTCAGTCAGTCAGTCAGTCAGGACAAACAGTTTTATATATAGAGATAATGGCTTCAAAATCAATCCTTGAACATTATGAAGGTGATCGGACTTAGAATAAGAACAGTTCTATAGCAAAAAGAACGTCTATGTGTCTGATTACCTAAAATATTTAGCTATGCCCGAATGCCTTAAAAGTTACTAAAGAAACACGAGATACCTTGTATGCACTTGCATTAATAACATAAAAACTGTAACTATTCAAATTTTGTAATAAATGATAGTTTTAACGCCTATTACTGAAAGCCATACCCAAGCCTCTATCAAGCTTAAGTACACATAATTATTAAGTACATGATAATGATTGTCTATGCTTCACAGTGTAGAGCACAGTTATATGTATATATATATATATATATATATATATATATATATATATATATATCTATTATCTAATTAATTTTATTTTTCATAAGTTATTTCAGTGTTTATAAAAGAAAACTGTTTTTTTTTTTTACTTTAATCAAAATGTGTACGTATTCACACCATTTTTATTTCACGTTCTACCAAGTAATGAATAAAATACATAGATTTGATTTCATTGGCATAATTTTTACTAACGTTTTCTTTTTTTTATTTATTTTTAGAAATCATTTACTGCATTAGGCCAGCAAAAATTAAAAAATTATACATAGGACAATTGATAGGTGTCCGTGGTGATAAGCCAAAAACCCCAAATTTGCAATCAATAATTTATTTGTGCTTTGATTTTGTTTATTTTAGATTGTTAAACAATTTGAAAGTAAGCTAGTGGGACCCTTGAACGGCCACCAGACTGAGCACACCCAGCAGTAGACCAAACAGTTGCTGTCCCCTTGCGGCGCCAGATTTCATGTCCAGCGCGTAGTTGTTGCAGGCGGTGGGGCCGTGAGTATCCTCTGGAAGGCACAGGCTGCAGTCGCTGTCCTTCAGGCAACTCTGTTGCTCCTTCACGCTTAGAGCGCAGCCTCTTTGCAGATGTGTGTCAACGGATTTCACATAGCAATAGGCATTACTTGCAGTCGGCGCTGGGCATTGGGAGGGGCTGATGCTGTCACCTGCCGAGTTGCAGTTGGAATTCTGCAAGAAGTTAAGAACTGAGATATTTGTGTAATTGAATATTTCTTAGAGCTTACCTCCAAGCCGCTGCATTGTATGCACTGAAAGTCGATGCGTCCTTGATTATTGCACAGTTCTCCGCTGCACTTTTGGCACTGAATGTCCCGTGCGTCACACTTGGATTGCGCCGCCAGGGAAAGCTCCAGCTGGCAGCCCCTTTCGCTTACCATAACTGTGAAGCAGAGGTTAAGGACTTTTCCTGTATTATAGCCGATTTTACTCACAGCCCTCGTAGACAGTCACACAAGTGTCCAGCAGATCGTTGCATTTCACTGTCACATTTTTGAGCGTGGTTCGCTGGCAATTGATGCCCTCGCAGCTGTAACAGGTACGGGGAGTTGAGGCATTGACAGCCGCCTCCCTCGACTCGGTGGCAAATGCTAGTGGCAGGCACAGCAAAAGGATAACAGCTGTCGGTGGCAACATACTTCTTTACACCTTTGACTTTGGATCACAAATTAGAACTAAAACTTGTCGTTGAACTAACCACAACGATTTTCAAATCAATTGGTTGCACTTGAGTATTTTCCTTACAATATTTTCCATTGCAATTTGGAATCTCCGATAACAGTTCATATGCAACTCGAAAGCCGAACATTTTCAAGGGGCTTTAATACCCTATACACTTAAAACCAGGAAGAGCGGTGTAATCAACATTAGTTATTGGCTTGGATCTTCAACTAACCTTAATTAAGAACTATAATTAAATATTTACTCATTGTATTAAAAACTGATGTTTTTTAAAATCATTTTTGAATTAAAGGAAAAATAAAAGTGATATCCTTGCTTGTCTTTCATCAAATTGACTACAGAGTGTCTTCGTAGTCAAGCTTGCAAAACTTAAAGATTTTTATATTGTTCCTGAAACATTTTTGTGGCTTATCTGTCAACGTTTTGTTTGCATGTCTCTTGACGTTCCCAATATCACAAGTAGCGCTGTATTTGTGTAAAAGCTTATCTCCCAGTAAGAAGTATATACCAACATAGTACATATTTATGCGCATGTGTGTCTACTAAGTTCGCTATGATTATTTTATTATTATGACTCACATTTTGAGGTGGTTTACCGACTCTTTAAATAAAATCGATAACACGTAGTTACATTATATTTATTAAAACCTTATAGAAATTTTAAAAAGCTGTTTATTTGACACAAAGTCTATGAGTAACTTTTTTTTTATCGCCAATTATTGTCTATGATCTATATCTAGGGGTGTTTAATATTTTCAGTGAATCATTTACAATTGGCCATATGCGGCCAATCGTTTTTGTTAGCCCAGCTATCTATAGGTAATCAGAAAGCTTATCATCAATTGCATTGAATTTATACACAATGCGTAGATCTATGACAGTAAAAAACAAAAAATTGTGACAGCCAAAAAACTATAGTTGTAATTTTTAGAAAACACGCGGCCTCGGACAATAAGCACTGTGCACATACTTTGGCCAAATTAATTGAACAGACATGTGTCTTCCAACTTGAAGCAGGGATAACAGATACCGAGATATGTAATCATGACAGAAGTGTACTAGAAATACAAAACAATTAGCTGGAATTTCAGAGTGCTTTTCAATGTACTTCAACTGGTTATCTATAAAAGTTAGTATCATTCGACGGGAAGTGCCATTTCCTCAAATGTATCTAGTCAAGTTTCACCAAAGGCCAGCAGAAAATTGTAAAATTCCTTTCAGATGTGTTGGCATATCCAAATCTGAACAACATCTGGTTGTTTTTTAATTTGTTTTATTCTACCTTATAGGCAAGAGACTAATGTTGGTTTCTTCGAACCCTTGATTTAGACAAGTTCGGATGACAGCATATTAGCGCTGAGTACAGGGTATCTTCTAGTCGGCCAACCTCGTCTAAGGCACTCCTACTGGTTTGTATACAATTTCCATGCTTAAGACTTTTTTCTTACTTTCATCTTCCTCCATTATTTTCCTTCATACCGTTAGTTCGTTTTAACTTTTCAACCATATTTTCAACTTTTCGCGAACTTTAATGCGAAGGTCACACTGAAAAGTTCACTTCTTTCAAATTAAAGCACAAACTGTACTTATTTGCATATATTTACAGCAGATTTTTTTACAACCTAGGCAGACGGACAAAAAGCACGTGGAGATTACGTTACACAATCGTAAAGGAGAAAAGCTGCAGAGAAAAGAAAGAAAGAAAGGAAACACAAGCATAACAAAGAAATATGCAAAACAGATGAATTGGGGATAAAGGCGCGCACAGAAACAAAAAGAAAAAAAATGATGGAAAAAAAAAACTCTGAAATCGTTATAAAAATTGTAACTTTATTTTACCGCCGGGACAACTTTTAGATATACCATGGAAATAGCGGGCGGTAAATGTTAAAGACAGTGACATAATGAAAATGAAAGTTCCAAGAGGGCTGTCGCAACATCAAAACAACAACGACCGAGTAAATCCACTTAAAATCGTATCAAAACAAAACCGGAAATGGACTTTGAAAATTCTGGAAATGGCCTCAAGTTTAAAGCTTCCCTTAAAAGGGCAGCTGTGTACGGTCAATGCTGCTATAACAAAACGCCAAATACTTAATGAAACGAGTAATAATATTAATAAAATGGTTTCTACGCCGAAAAGTATGGTAATCTAGTTTATTAAGTACATTAAAATAAGTAGAAGTGAAATTAAATGTTTGTTCTTAATTATTTTTCTGTTAAATATGCATTTTGTCATTATTTGAATAATCCGAACATTTAAAGATTGCACATATTAAAGGGTAGCATGGATTTTTCACGAAAAGCATTTATTAACTTGTTCGGGCGACTGTACAACTAGAATTTTGTTTTTCACATAGCGAAACGAGTTAATTGTGCACTGAATGTTTTATAGCCTGATTCCACTGTGCTCAAAATATGTTGCATTTACAAACTTCACATTCAGCGATTCCATTAGTGTGTGTCTGTTGTCGATACCATATGAATGGCAAAAGTACCGCTTCTTTAAATAAGCTGTTTATGTGATATGAGTATTGGACAGTAGTTGGTTGACTCCACTTTATAATACTGCAAGAAATGGGGCAGGAATCCAAGAATTCTTGTCCCTCTATACGATATTGGGTTTATTATTTCCAAAACATACTACAAATGCTCTTTTGATGTTTACGAATTTGGTGAAATGGGGAACTTATGGATTCCTTGAAATAACTTTGATCATGTATTCCAGATTGGATGTATCCTGTTCTTAAGGTCTCTGAGATCGGTTATACTAGCCGGAACGGGCATATCAGACGAAAGTAAAATCCCTTTCAGCCTATTTGATTGATGCTGATCTGGAATATATATACATACTTCATATATGGTTTCGGCCTATTACAAATATGTGCACAAAATATCCCACTTTCAATTGGTACAGGGTGTACAAAAAACTTTTACCTAAGAGCAAGTTAAGTCAGTTGATATATGCGCACCTTTTAGATACATTTATCTAGTGAATTGCCTGTTTATTGAATGTGTGGCAAACGATTCGCAGGTATTTATACTATTTATCGTTTGCCGCAAATATTGTTAGGTATCTAACGAACACAAACACTACGCTATTTGTTATGCATTGAGTGGGTTTATCAGATGGCCAAAAGTTATGTGACGTGACACTGCATATGCCCCTAACATGAAGTTTTATCTGGGAAAATGGATTTGGAGTCTGGATTAGTTTTTCTGCTCATATAATTTACTGCTGATTGCATGTTGGCCCGCTGGGGACACTTATCGAAAACGCTGCCTTCTCATAATTGACTTGAATCATTTTGGCAATATGCATGCGTGTGGACTGACTGATTGATTGATTGATTGATGCATGGAATCTGCGGGTTGTTCCGCTGGCATTTCGCATTGCAAATACGCCTCCTTGTTTCAGCTCATGTATGTGTGGCTCGCTTGGCTTTCATTTCCTTTGCCGCGTTTTGCGGCCTGCGGTCATACACATAACAGCCTGGCTACTTCTCTATCGCCCACTAACTCTTCACCTGCCACTCTTCCTCGCTCTCTCTCTCTCCCTCTCTCTCTCTCTCTCTCTCTCTCTCTGTCGAACTGTGAGTTCTCGCTTGTAATTGCGTTTATTGTGCGTTTGAGATTTGAAATTCACTTGTGTAGTGTTTATGTATGTGTACGGGTATGTGTATGTATGGCATGTCGGCGCCGTGTTGATTGAAAATGGCTTAAGTAATCGACAGTTGATTGGTTGATTTGATTGTTGGTGCTGTATGCGCGATTGTTGCTGTTGTGTCCGTTGAACAGGGCGGATTAGTTTTGCAGCTGTGCCCATGGACATGTTTATGGTGGGTTTCCACTTCAGCTTATAGCGCTGTAAATCTTGTTATGACACTTCGTTCATGCGGAAGAACTTAGGAGAATTGCTTAAATCGTAGCGTAGCTGCTTATTATTGACACCATGACGAGGTATTAAACTGAAGGTCGATAAAAAATTGCATCCGACTTAAAGGGGCTCACATTTATAAATTGTATCTAATGAAATTAAATTCGGTATGCAGTCTGGCAAACATAGACAAAGGTTTCCTTGTTTCCGATTGCCTTCAAAGTTAAACAAAAAATGTACATTGAAATTTTGTCTTTTGCTTTCGTATTCTCAGGCTATTTAATGACATATTTAAGTCCCGAGAATGTTACCCCATTCCCATAGGACGGGTCTGAAGGAACAAGAACCACAGCCTTTGCAGCTCGGCACCAGGTTACTTGGCTTATCCCAAGCGGGTACTCTCGAAAGACAACTCTTGGTTTTAAATGTAGTATGATGTTCGAGAACAAGTAAGACTGGAGTTTGGTGAATAGCAGAAGTTCAAGAAAAAACTTTGCTCTACCGGTAGTTAACAGTGTATCCTCCCGATGAAAAAGGGAGCTCTAAAGCTGATAATAACTTTTAGTTTCAAAGGTTAAGCATTTGCAAATAAATATGAGATATAATTTTACTTTATGAATTAAGTTCTTTAGAAGCAATTAGGGTAATTAGTTGAAATGAACCAGTTTCTTACACTTACTGCAGCTCGCTTTAGATATTTAACAAATAAATGAATTTATTAAATATGTGCAGTTCTCAGAATCGCAGCGATTTAGTGGGGAATTGAAAGGTTAGCCACTTTTGGATGTTTTGCTTTGCCTAGTCGCTCATATCAAACATTTCTTGAGCATTTCTTCAACATTTCTATGTCAGCTGCGAGTTTCTTTGCGTCTGCCACCGAACCCTGACCCAAATGCACTGGCTGGCTGCACGCTCAGCTCTTTGGACGAGGCGAACAGGGCGGTGGACTCTTTGCCAGAAATAAGCTCCTGGCGCTACCTTGCGGCACTGTGGCTACAAACATTTTTGCGGATGGACGCAGCCACGAGCACCACTTTGTTTCGAGCGGCTTAAGCGGGTGAAGTAGTTGGTGCTGCTGGCGGGAAAGCGGGAAACGAGTTGAGTTTTGTGTGAAGCAAAACGTAAATAAAAGCCAAGCAGGCAAACGGCCACGAAAGAAACGTAAAATGCCGCAAAATGGCGCAAAAGAAAATCCACTTTTACGGTAAAAGTTCTCAGTGGTATCGTTGTTGTTGTTGTTATTGTTGTTGTTGTTGCCTGCTACCTTTACCAAAAGGCAGCCATTAGCTGACCTGAAAAGCTTGGCCCGGCTTTCAAGTGGCGCTCTCTCTTAGTGGCTTCATATGCACTTCAATATTTAACATAAACAAATATAAACAAACTACATCAAGTGTATAACAATGAGCTTGTGTGCGTTCTGTGCGTGCGTGCGTGCAGTCTGTGTGTGTGCGTGTGTGTGTGCGTGCATCAAGTGTGTAAATATGTGAGTGTTTACATTTCTTTACTGCCAAGATGACAGGCCGAATAAGGCAGCTGTCAGCTTCTGTTTCAGTTTAAACAAGCTCGAATATAAGTTATACAATTTTCCAAGCGTGGCTTTTGTTGATGCTAAATAATATATTTCACAGAATATAGGTACAAATTGGAATCTAACACTAATATGCGCTTTCGGCAAATGAGTTTTGTTTGTTTTTAAAATGTTAATAAATGTATGATATTTGCATACTTGCCAGTTGCAAAGAAAAAGCGGATAAGTACGTAAGAATTAGGCTGGAATTATAATTATGTATCAACCACCAAATGAAGATTACACGGGTTTGTTATTTTTAAAAGAATGGATTGCTTTAAAAGATTTGCTCCATTTTCTTTGAAATTGTTTTTTTTTGAAACTTGTTTATTTAATATTATTGTAAAATAACTTAGAAATCTTATGAGACTACAAACACACAATGTATTTTGTTGTTAAAGAATAATAATTTTTTTAGATTTGGGATTACAATTGTCGTTGCATTTGGTTCAAACCTTCCACGTATTATAAAAAAATAGTATTTATTTTTTTATAAAATATATATTTATAATAAATAATAAATAATAAAATACAAATTTGTTTAAATATAAGACCTAATTTGAGCAGCTCCACATATCTTATTTCAACTGCATTTCATTTTGACCAATGAATCGTAGATAATAAATGGAATTCACAACGGTTCGACTCATTTGAAGATCTTTTCTGACTGCATTCCATTTCAAATTATCTTGTTCCACTTTAGAGACGCGCATCCACCTCAGTGGGAAGACTGCTACTGGTAGCAGCAGCAGTCGCAGTAGCCATAGAAGTAGCAGTAGCGTATAACCTGTCACTGTCGGCTACTCAGATCAAGTTTTAGTGGCCAAGGCCTTGGGTGGCCAATTTCGAGGAGTGCACAATCAAAGCTGCCATGATTAATGTCAACACAATTGACATAAAGTAGGGACGCGGCCAGCCTAATGTGGGGCCATGAAAAGCCAGAATGCAACCGGAAAAACTCGACGCAAGTGAAGATGCAATTATTGATGGATTATTTACTGTCAGCACTGTCCGTTATGACAATGAGATATGGCTTCGGGGCGGTCAATTTCTCAGACTGTGACTGAGTCTGCGTCTGCGTCTGGGTCTGGGTCTGGAAAATGCCTGCGTCCAATGACAGCCACTAGACAAGGAGATCAAGCTCTCGCCTACTCTCGCGTCCATTCCCCAGGCGCGGAGTCATTGCATTTTCTTAGGCATTCTGCTGACTTTGCAATTTACGACCGCAATTATATTGTATGCTCGCGGATGCCACGCCGTGTGGCAGCCGTCATTAGTATTCAATATTCAATAACTTGCATTGATGCATTAATTGCGCGTAATCACCCGCCATATAAATAACCAACAATGGTGGAACACACACCGCCCCAAGTCCAGGAAGTGTAGAGTCGTCGCCCCGTCTCATTTGCATAGGCAACG